AAAGTTACAAAAAACGCCAATAAACACGGTTCCGTGCGTTTTTTTAATGAGCGTTAATGGCTTACAATCGCGGTTCCCGATTGTGCGTTTAAACGCGTTTTTCAAAATTTTTGTCTGACTGGGCAGCTAAAACTTGTCTTTTCGTCAAGACATTGATGGGTCTATTTCCAATCGACTACCATTTCATAAAAATAAGCTAATATTGTTTTATAGTGTTAATAAAGTGTTTTGAGATGAAAAATATGTTTCTTCTTCACATTATCAAATTCATATTTAACAAAATTGAATATGGCAACCGTATTAATTAAAAATTATTCTTCTTCAGGAAAGTCAGACAATAGGGAGACGTTTACACCATAGAAGTCAGCGTGTTTACCTAAATCAATAATGAAAAGAGTGTTGCCAAATTGTTCTACCAGTTCCTGATTCTCGCTTGTTGAAGTGAATGAAGACAACGTAGTCTTTCACCTTCTCTTTTCATATATTCTTGTCGTTGTTGATCAGTTAGTGTGACGCCACGATAAACAATGAGATTATTTCTTGTATTTAATTGTTTCAAATATGTGCAGAGTAGCCAAGAAAATGGTCCTAATGTTTTTAACTGTTCACAAGTAATTGTTTCAGGATTGCGAAGTACAGAGTTAATCAATTTGTACAAAAATAATTCTTTAGTATAGAGATAAACACATGTTTGACTAATAGTAGGCGGAAATTTAGTATGCATATCTGCCTCCACCATATTTCCAAAATATTTAACTGCACGCAGCTGCTCAGCCAACCATTCAGCTTCACATGGTTTGCCAAGCTTGGTTCCTTCGATCGTGATTCCTTGAGCAGCTTCCTCGACAACATCAGACACAGTTTTCCGTTTGTTTTTAAGCTCTTCAGTGTAGTAACAGTATGAAAAATTATTTCCCCATTGGTTCAGGCGAAAGCTCTCATCAGTTTCAACCATTGACGATGGTTTTATAGCGATTGGCAACGAGAATCGTTCTTCTCTCAAATGAATATCACTTCGATTAGTTATTAAATGAACGCGTTTTATTGGACGATGTTTGTTCTGCTTATTTTTCTTGTATTGAACGTAATACTGTAGATTAATAATATAGTCACCATCAATTTCTATCACTCCTTTGTTCTCACGAAATGCATCTTCAATAATGTCGTTTTCAATGTCAATATATTTCATCCATTTTTCTTCATCAGACCAAGGATTGACAGAGCGATTCTAATACCATTGAGAATTACGTGGACGACGAAGGATAGGTGCAGTAGTAGTCGCACAATCAGCAGTCATTTCTTATTCTTTCTATTATAAACAACGCATAATGATGACGGGTTTTTTTACATACACATCACACATTCTTTCTTTCTTTTTGCTTCTTAAAAAAAGCAAAAAATCAATCATTCCGAATTGCCATAGGCTACAGTACTCCATTATAGGGTGTAGGCAGGTATGAATGGAGATATACACTCATACCCACCCTCAAGAAATCATACTTGTAGTTCGATTATAGATTGCATTTATGTTCGTAATCTTCTGATGATTTTATGTTAGTTTATTTCAATTTTTATCGAGTGTACTTTAGCATGTGGATGATTTCTTTTTGAGCAGTGTTTTAAAGGAAGGCCTAATAAAGTGGATTTGCGTTGTTACTGAAAAAAATATAGTTATTTTACAATGAACTTTAATCTTTTATTTAATCCGTAATATGTATCATGATTAGAGTTCCAGAAAGTGAATACTTCGAAAGTTCTGTTATTATTTGAATGCAGCATGGCCTTTACATGCATGTGTCAAATGACATAAAAGCCCGAAGATCATAAATGCGTCGTATCTTAAAAATATAATAAAGAAAGTACCACATACAACAACAGCAAAAGAGAAAATTAGGGTGTGGGTGGATGTGGATGTGGGGTATGGGTGTGGATGGATGTGGATGTGAATGTGAATGTACTTCTTCATTTCACCCACACCCACATACCCACACACATACCCACACCCACACACCCACAAATAGTTATAGGTATATTTATTTTATATCCATTATCATAAAATTGAATCAAAGTTCAGAAAAAGAGAAAAAGAGGTGGATGCATAATCGACGATTACCACGATGATCTATTCACTAATTTAATATCAGTCGTCCATTTTTCATATAATTGTGCTCGCTCTCTTGTATCTTTAGTCCATTGGAAATCATTATATTTAACAAAAACAACCTCATATGGTTCTAATGACGTACCTTGAAAAGCTTTGTTTATAAATGGGTTTCTATTGGAATTGCAAAATTTGTTATGGGGTTGAGAAAAATTAACATGTTGATATTTAGTTAAAAGAGAATCAATCATATAACCTGATTCGAGTATGCGACTTGATGATGGTATTTCGCTATAAAGTGAAACATGATCTTTGGTTGGATAACAAGTAAATATTCCTTCTGGATATGATCCACCCCAACTGCCTGGTTTTAATAAAATTGATAAACCAATAAAATCAGTAACGAATAATTGACCTTGAACATGTGGAACTCTTTCACAACTAATTGTACATCCAGCTAATTTAACATAATCATTAATACGATTTGTAAATATTGAATACCAATAATAATTTATGTTCGATTTAAATGCTAATTCAATAAAATAAGGTGGAAAAAAGGGACCACGAACCGATGAATTCATAAATATAAAATATTTATATGTAGTTAAATTTATTGTTCTATTATTATCAATTAAAGAATAATTTTTCCATGGATTTCCCACAGTATAATGATCAAAAAACCATCCAACAGTGCCAAAATCAAAACATTTATTTTCATGTTGAATATAATAAGCACTGTTTGATGTTAATAATGGCATATTACTCTCATTTATTGGTTTATTATCAACTTGTTGTAATATAAAGTAATAATCAACATGATCTCCTTGACGAACACATTTATCGATAAAATATTTTAAATTTCCGTATGCATGAGAATGTGTGCCAGCGTAAATATAAATTAATAATATATCATTATTCGCCGATTTATCTATTTTATTTAATATAATTTATTATTTATTTCGATTTGAACAGAAAGTATCAAATTTTTTAAAAAATTCTTTCGAAAACAAAATTCTAAATATAGAAGCTAACTTTATTTAATAACATAGATTCGATTATCTAGATAGTTTGAAAAACTCTTAATCAGCACTATTATTAATTAAGTAGTCATTATTTATTGAACCTTAAACGTCGTCTGAAAAGTATTCTTCGTCATCGAAAACTCTTTAAATTTTTCAACCAGATGCAAACCCTAACCAATTTTAACACTTCGACCATTTTCAATAAAATCTATTGATGAAAGTGTCTATTATTTTATTATACAAGAGTCCTCTATAATCTCGAATACTAACAGAAAAATTCAAGATAAATACATAAAAAATAAAGTATTCTTATTCGATCATCTGAATATAATTTATAGAGTCGATATACTATTAATGTTTCAAACAAATATATTTATAACTGAAAAAGATAATTTTTTTGTGAAATCAGACTTTTTCTTGTGAAAGAAACAATCGACGGAAAAAATTCGATGTAGTACTTGTTTTCAATTTATTTCCTTTTACCTACTGGAATAGTTTATTTTCGTTGGTTGATTATGTTGCTCATCAGGATAAGCCAAATATTTTCCAAGTGAATTAATCAATAAATAGATAAGTATCATTATAAATAAAACAGTTAATTTTGGATATCTGATCCAGCTGAATAGACCACTAATGATTTGTTCTAAAATGTAAATCTAATTTAAAGCACCTACATATGTACAATTTCTATATAAATACCAGTTTCCTTTTTTTAAGACGAATTCTACTTTCGGTGAGCATTACACAAAAACAAAAGGCTTTCTAGGGCAATTTAAGTTCAGTTACTTTTCTTCTATCACTTTACTTTCACTTAAAGCTCAAAAAAATAACAAACGCATTTGCTATGTATTCGAAGTTTACCTTCATCGTTCGAACAAGCTGCTCAGTTCACCATTAAACTGTCTGAATATTCAATAACATTTCTTTATCAGTTATTTCCATTCATCTTCAGAAAGAATACAGAACGATGAACACCTTTTATTTCGTATTCTTTCCTATACCTTGATCATTCTTCACACGTTGTACACATTTTCTCAAGGTGTCCACAAAAATATAACATCTTCTAAAGTTTCCTATATGTTTTTTCTGGTAAATATTAACTTGAATTTGTTAAATTATCTACGCTTCGTGTATAGTTACAGGGAAAATGAAGAAAAAAGCTAAATTATTCTTAAAAATTTACTATTTATTTATTTGACTTTTTGTTCTGTTCTGAATACATTTTTTTGTCCATCGAATAGGATTGTGCAAACAACTTTTCTCTTCGAAAGAACCTTGTAGACTCTTTTATTTTGTCATAATTCTTTTTCGATGATTGTCGTGTACATGACTCAAAAGTAACAATAATTTTTCAAAAAAATACTTTATTTTAAGAAACTTTCTCTAAATAGATGATGAACGATGATTTCAAACGACAATTATCTATCTTTAAAATTAGTTTCTATTCTATACAAATTTTCAAAATAAGATAAATAAAATACAACGTAGAATTCGTTTATTAAGATACTTAATTTTAGAATAACTGGATATTCAATAAAATTTAGTATTACTGTCATTGAACTCACTTTGACGATTTGTCATGGTAGAAATCAATGCACAATCGCAAATAAATGTTGAAAGAATTCCGCTTTTTCTTTTTCTGAAAAAATACGAGTCTCCTTTTTCCTTTTCATTTCTCGATGATCTGTTCTGTGTAAATATTGAAACGTGCACTGCTAGACAAAAAAATACGGGCCATAGTAAAAGAATGAAAGAATCTGAATGGAATAAAGAAGACCTCTAGTGTTATTTTCATCATGTTTTACTTCATAAAGAACATTTTATGTTTAATAAAATACTCGTTTGTTTTAAAACAATTTCGCTTTTTTTGTGTTCCAAATCGTGTATGGGCAAGATAAAACAGTACACTTCTGTACTTCTTGATACATCTGTTCTTAAAACAGAATACAGCATTTTTGCTTGTATGAACTACCAACAGTACAATAAAAGTGTTTCAGGAATAAAGATTCTCAGGAACTAAACACTTTTGTCCTGTTTTGTGTAGGGGCGGCGGCTTAGCGTGAGTACTTAAAAACTACTACTTTTGTATTAAAATTTAAAAAAATAAGGAGGCGGGTTGTGGAGAGAGGAAATCGGTCCCTTCTCAAAATTCAGTTTCTCATTTTCCAAATACTCAATTGATGCGTCAAAAGTCGATCTTTGTTCGAATTAGCCAGTTAGCTTCAGTTACGGCTGTGCATGGATGACTTAAACTGTTGATGTTGTCTATGACCTGGCAGGTTCCTGTATGAAGTATTTCAATAATGTATTTTTCCTCTGTGTCCAACACTTCTTAATTTGAGTTATATATCAAATAGAAGCTTACTCCTTCTGTTATCGATTGACATAAAACAGGATGACAAAAAGCCTTTCTTTGATTGTTTTATTGAAATTTTCTTATGCAGTTCTGTATATTATTGTACAGATAATCATGAGCAAATCACATTTCATAGTACTAAAAGAATACAGGTCTAACTTGCAGTAGGCACTATTGCGTAGTTCTTCTGAAGCTTTACTAAATGATACTATTGCATAGAGTTTAATTTGTGGAGAAGACAATTAACTTGAAGGCCCAAAACTACAGAGTGCTAAGGGTGTGGGTGTTGATTGTTTACTGACATCGACACCCACACCCTTTTAGCTATTCCTTGATTTTAATTTCATTAAAATTAAAGTTTTTTTTAAATATATGTGTATTAAAAAAATGAACTTATGTGAAAAACATATTGGTACATGAAAAGTAAAATATTTTTATTTTTCAAAACATTAAGACCAAGAAGAAACTATGAATTATTTATTTATTTTTCAAAAAAAAAAGAAAGAAAAAGAGGAAAGAAAAGAATTTATAATTTTCTTTTGATTAAGTGCTTAATGAAAAGATACTTTTCAGACCATTTAACTATCAGTTAAAAATTTGAGGCAAGCACACGATTTTACATTTTCAGTTCATCGGTGAATTTCCTCATTAAATAAATATTTTCGGTTTGCTTTTGCTAACTTAATCTTTTTCTTTAATTAGCAAAAAAATTGTTGCGGATGTATTCTATTTTTCGAAGCTCAATTCTTAATCCTCGAGAAAGCATTAGACAATTTTGATCAGAGCACAGAACTCGTTCTTTCCTTTGTAAGAATGATGTTTCATTATCTGGGAACGCACCAGTACTTCGAAGAATCTATTCTTAGGCATCTCTTTACAGAAAGTGAAAGAATATTATCTTATTAGCAATGAAATCTATCCTGACTGTTCTGAAAAAGAACGAAGAAGAACCCTTTCATTAGTTAGTGGAACCGTTCAGAAAGCTTTCTATCCAAAAAAAGAACGATTTCAAACAAAGAAGGAAGTATTTCATGATATCATAGAACGGTGAAGAATGCTTTCCTTCAGAAGTAGGACGTATCCTTGTCGACTTAGAAGGCATTCTCGAAATTATACAACGTTTTAATGAACGACAAGATAGTTTTCCATGTTTTGACGAAAGCATTTACTCGCGTTATTTTCCAAAAAATTTTTCACTGGAAAGCTGGTAAACCTATAGTTGATGAGTTAATAGAACCGATATGTTCTAAGGGTCCAATTCCGATGAGAAGACCTGTTCGAACAGATTAGCTCTGATAAGACACGCTTTTAACAGTCTCTCAGATCAAAAATAGAATTGATCTTATCGATCTCAACATATCAAGAGAAATTTTAACTGTAAAAGACAAAGAAATGCATTGTACTGCTCTAAAGTATGGCAAAGCTTCTTAAAGGAGTTAAACGTTTCTTGATATACATGAATTATTTTGAAGTATTTTAAAATACGTAAATGATGAAGTACTGATTTATTGTTGATTGGACTCGATTATCTCTTCTGTTTGCACATGTCTAATTTTGGGTGATCCTTTTCTGTCTAGGAATATCTTTTCTAAGATGTCCTTGATGTATATTTCTTAACAAGTTATCCGAAAAAAAAACAAGATATACACACATGGACGTCATTAAATTCGCATAAGAGTAAGCGAATCAAAAATAATTTTCTTGATTTATAGAATAATTAATGAAAAGAAAATAAACTGTTAAACAATTGAATTGATATAATTAGTTGATCATTCGTTTTGAATATTATTTAGTAAAAGATTTTGAATAAACCATGCATTTGATTTATTTTGAAAAAGGGTATAATGAAATTAATAATCTTAATTAGGTTAAGTAAATAGCATAAATCTTCGTTGCAGAGGTTTACATAAAAATAACACAATCAAAGTCAGTCTAACCTTAAATCGAAATAATTCTCCAATGACTTTTTATTATTAAATAATTTTTAAATATAAATTATGAATAATAAATCAATCAAAATCTGTTACTTCAGTTAATTAAACAGTTTCGATAGATGCGAAATTGTATTGTTACGGTTTTTTTCTATTCAATTTGTTTTCTCGTTGATAAGTTTTATGAATAGGTGTGAACCGTTCAACGAATTGTGCTTAGAATTTAAAACCAATTTACCTTTTTTTTTATACCAATTCAAATGAGATAGACAAATTGAATAAGATAAAAATGATGCTTAATACAATGTTAAAATACGAATAAGAAACCTCGAACTAAACTAATTCGATGTTGTGCAAGCAGAACGAAAAGTCTGATTAATAAATTTAGTATCGATAGTAGTAAGTTTTTCAAGTAAGTCCCAAGCTGGTTTTTCACTAATAACAAGATAATGATTATCAGGTTGAATTTGTTTTTGATGAGCACATATAGTTACACTCATTGCAAGTCGAGCACAAATAAAATAATAAAATAAATCAATTTCAATATCTTCAAATTGATTTATTTGATTATAATCACGAATAAGATATGTTGCTGAATCAATTGGATCTTGTTTATTTAAAATAATATAAGCACATGCTACAGCTACTTCACTTGTAAGAAATGTTAGACACATCTGCAAAATCAATTAAATTAATATTACCTTCATCCATAACAGTTATATAATAATCATTAGCATCATTATGAATAATTGATTGTCGAAGTGATGAAAATAAAGGAACAACTATTTCAATCCAATCTTTAAGAATATTTTCAATAATTTGACGATGATTTTTATCAATACTTAAATTTTTATATTTATTAATAATATATTCAGCATTAATTATATTCCAATAAATATCACGTTTTGCACATTCATCTTTAAATTTCATAAGAGATTTATCTATTTGTCCAAGAAGTTTTTCTAAATTAAAAATTAATTTCGAAGTATGAGGTCAATAATTAGCTAAAGAAATTCCTGGAAGATAATTAACAAGACGTATTAAAATGATTTTTATATTTAACAATCATATTTACATCTAATGCAGCT